AAAAAATTAGCTAATAGAGGTGGTATATGCCTGTGGTCCCAGCTACGCGGGAGGCTGAGGCAAGGAGGATCACTTGAGCCCTGGAGGTGGAGGCTGCAGTGAGCTGTGATCGCGCCACTGCTCTTCCTCCTGGGCGATAAACACCCCTCCTCAAGGAAAAAAAGGAGGGGGTGCCTATTACTGAGCAGAAAAGCCTGCATGCACAGGGTGGGCACCACCTTCCCCACACAGGACTGCCCTGGTGGGCAGAGGACACGGGCATGAAACCGACTGTGTGTTTAATTAGTCACACGTGGGTGCTGAAGTTAAGATGCCAGGAGCCGGGCTTGGGCCAGGAGGAGGCCGGGTTAGGATTGAGTGGGAATTCGTGGGCCACTCAGAAGACAGCAGCGCCACCATTGTGCCTGTCACGGTTACCACCTCAGAGCAGGCAGGCCCGGTGGGGAGGGCGGGGCAGCTCCCTCAGAGTCTCAGGTTATTGGGTCTGACCCTGAAAGGCCCATTTTCCAGCTGGGTAGATGGAGGCTCAGAGGGTGCTGGTCCTCAGAAGTCCCAGGGCCCAGGCAGGTGCAGTGAGGCTGGAATGCCGGAGCGCCCTGGGGTACCGGGTGCTGTGAAGGCCTGGGGCCTCGGTTTACCTGCCGTCGCAGTGGGGCCATGTGTTGCGGAATCCTGGAGAAGCCCAGGGACCTTGGTTTGTTTCTTCTGGCCTGTCTGCAGATGTCCTTAAATCCTGCTCCCGCTACCCCATGCCCAGTAGCAGCGTTTGGGGTTGAAACAGGTTGGAGGAGGGCACTTTCAGTCTGAATTTAACCCTCCCCCATGTGAGGCGCAGGCCCCTGAGGTCTGTCAAAAACAAAAGTCCCCAAACTGAAACAACACCGGCCACCCTGTGGAAAAAAACAGCCCAAGGGCCGGAGGGCCCAAGGCTGCGGAAGGACCATGCTGGTATTTTTAAGCCGCGTTTTATTTTTGCCTCCCTGGCTGAGTAACCCGAGGTGCAGTTGGGTTGTTTTTTGTTAAACTGACAAGTCACAGACCGCTGGGCTGGAACAGAACGGCGGTGTTTTGGGGGGAGGGGGCACAGGTTCAGCCCCAGGACCTGGCTCCTCACCTCCAGCCACTCAGCACATCTCCCCGTCCCAGGTCGGAGCCAGCAGCCCTGTTCCCAGATGAGGAAACAGGCTGGGAGCAGTGAGGTGCCCGTCCTCTCTGGGTGTCCCCCCTCTGGCTTTACCCAGAACTGGAGTTTCACCTGCCTGGCCAGGACAGGGAGGCAGAGGCGGCCCCCATGACTGCCCGCAGCCCTGCTCTGTTCCTGCATACCTGCCCTCTGCCCCCGTCCCAGGAACTGAGTCCTAAGGGGAAGCACTTCCCTGGACCAGATTCGCGTAAAACGAGAGAACAGGGGACTCAGTTCTCTGGTTCTTGAGGGAGAACGCTAACCCAGGCTGTTCCCAGCGCGCCTTGGTCCTGCCCCAACCCAGGCTAGCTTTGTCGGGAAAGAAGGACCTGCCGGCGCTGGCCTGGGCTGACATGCTCTGCCTGGGTCCCAGACAGTCCCTGGGCCTGAGTCAGGGGCTTCAGGGATGAAGGGGGAGCGAGTTCCTGGGACCAAGGCTGTTGGAAGCCAGCTCCCCAGACCCTGCCGCGTGCAAGACTCCCATGGGAGCTTGGATTTTACCACGTCCCTCGCAGCCAGAGCCCTGAGTCCATTTATCAGAAGAAGAAACCAAGGCTCCAAGGGGTGCAGGGGCTGTTATGGGCTGCTCACGAGGTCAGCGGAGCCCAGAGGACACGGCCCGGTACCCTGTGGCCCATGCCACATTGGTGCAGCGCTGGTGTCGTAGGGGACGAAGCAGGTGAAAACGCAGTTGGCTGCAGCTCCTTCCATGGGCTCGCCCAGGCCTGTCCGTCCCCCACAGCAGGCCTCTGTTTCCCAAATGGGAGGGTGGCCCTTGGAAACCAGGGTCCTGGGAAGACTGGGCACACCCGAGCCTGCGGGAGGGGGTGCGGTCCTGGGCGAACACTGCCTGCAGCCCGGGCACCGCTCCTACCCGCAAGGCCGTTCTTCCTCTCCAGGGCCAGGTGAGAATGTGGCCTCCGTTTCCTCTTCTGTAGGACCAGGGAGTGGGGGACAGAACCCCGCTTCCTGGGTCCCCTTTGGACTGGAGGATTGTGGCCACAGACGCTGTGCCTTCGCTTCCTGGCTGGCCGCCTGGGGAAGGTGTTGGGGATCTTGGCCGCTCCTCAAAAACCGCCTGGCCCTGATTCCAGCCACTTTGATCACTTGAACCCCAGTGGGAGCTTTAAAACGCAGCCCCTTGGGGCAGGGCGGAGGCGTGTGTTTTTTTCTGTGGCAAAAGGGTTTGTTGCTGTTGGCTTTTCCGGTTAATGCTGCTGAGCCAGTTAATCTTTAGGGACTTAGTGCCCTGGGTACGGGTGAGCCGGGCAGGAGGGGGGTGGCAGTCCCACACCCCTGGCACCCAGGAGCTGGATCAGCGGTGGGGTGCAGCCTCTCCCCAGCCCCTCCAGCTTCCTGCCGGGCCCCGGGCTCCATTCTGTGTCTTCCTCGACCTGCTGCCTGTCTGAGCCTCGGCTTCCCCTTTGGTCGAGCAAACCCATACCCAGCCCTGGTAGGGGGATAGTGGGCGCCACCCCCTGCTCCAGGGCCTGCCATGCAGGGCCAGTGCGTACACCTGAAACGTGGAGTCAGCCAGGGCTCAGGCATCAGGGATCTCTCCACATGTCCCCTTGTTGAGTGTAAACTTGTCACTTTTTAGAGCTGAAAGGTAAAGACAACATTGTATCACCGTCAAGAGCTGATAAGTTGCATCCTTTGCCTAAATGGGATACCGCTCCCCCCAGAGCAAACGCAGGGGAACAGCAGGTTTTCAGTGGCAGGGACTCTGTGCCTGGCGGGGCAGCGGGGTCATCGTTGTCCGGAGTTTTCTCATTCTGGGCGTGGGTGTCCGGGGTGCACTGTCACTTGAGGGCACAGCCGGATGGGCCGGACCTAGATGGAGCCCAGTCTCAGGTCCCTGGACGTCCCCAGCTCTGCTCCCTGCCTGGGTTGGAGCCCAGGACTGTAGGGTTTGATTTGCTGCCCGCCCCACTCACCTCTCCCCTCCCCTCCCTGCAGATGTTCCCGCTGCCTGTCACCAACGGGAAGGGCCGGCCCGCCTCCCTGGCCGGGGCGCAGTTCGGAGGTTCAGGTAGGATCCCGCCTTCCTGCCGGTGCTCGTGGGGTGAGGAGACCGAGGGTCTGTTGAAGATAGTGCATGGGGTGAGGGGAGGCTGGGGGCAGCAGAGGAGGGAAGGGGCCACAGAGGCCAGGTCAGGCAGCGAGCCTGAGGACCCCTGAAATCAGCTGCCCTTGCCTGTGTGACCTGCCTCGGGAGCCCGAGCCCCTCGTCCCCTTGTCCGTCCGGCGCCTGGAGCCTGGGTCTGGGGGTGGGTGGGGGCTTTCTCTAAGAACCAGGGTTGGAGCTGGACCTGTGTGTGGGTGGCGATCTTGAGCCTCCGTGTCTCCAGTCAATCCACAAGGGGAAAACTGAGGTTCTGGAGGGGCATGATGCGGGATCCCGGCTCTCACTGGATCCCACCCACCTTGTGAGCCTCGACCGCTTTCATTTAAGCATGTATTAGGCGCTGGCTGTATGCAGGCTCCAACACCAGGGTGACCGGCCATTGTGGTTTGCCTAGGACAGAAGGGCAGTTCCTGGGACCTGGGGCTTTGAGTGCTGAAACCAGAAACATGCCAGGCTGACCTGGATGAGCGGGTCGCCCTCGCTGATGATATGGCAGTGGGTGGGACAGATAGGGGAGACGTAGGGTCTGGGGGCGGCCTGCACATCACAATCTGGAGCGTGGGTGGGGCCCCCCAGGAAGGTCTCCGCAGAGTGGGTGTCCTGAGGGTGAGAGGAAGGGGCCGTGGGAGGATGAAGGGAAGAGTTTGCCAGGCAGAGGGAACAGCCCATACGGACACCCTGTGGTGGGACCGGCCGGTGGGGTGAGGTAGGAGGCGCTGTCTTCATTACAGGTGCAGCTGGGAGCCCTGGATGGTTGTGAATGGAGAGACGGTCTAGTCTGATGTGCATTTGGGTGGCCCAGCCTGGCTGTCGACAGGATTTGGTGGGGGACACTGGGGGTGGGTGCCCCCGATGCTGCTTCAGAGCCACGGGTCTCTTTGTGGACATCAGCATCTTTCCGGGGAGTGGGGGCCTCGGGATTGGGGCCTCTGAAGCTGTGTCCTTCCTGCCTCTGGGATCTGGGGAGAAAGTGCCATCTCGCAGTTGTCTCCAGAATGCCCCGGGGGTGGACCCTGGCTGGAGTCTTGGGGTCTTTTGAGCGGTGGGCGAGGGGGGTCTGTACTTAGGCACCTGTACCGCCGCACGGAGAGACGTCGCCTTGCTGCCCCCACTGCCTCACTCTGGCCTTCCCCTCTGCCTGAGGAAGTGGCCGCAGGGCTGGCCGGAATATGCTCCTGAGGCATGGAAATCCCCAAACACCACCCTGCCAGCCCCCCGGAAACAGCCCCAGGAACCGGACATGCTGACGCTTCCTTGTGTGAGACAGAGGGTCAGGCCTTGGGGGCTTCCTGGAGGAGGCGGCGCAGCTATCAGGGCCATACACCCCCATTCTCCTGGGCCTCTGCCTGGGCTTACAGCAGGGCCTGGTGGGGAGGGTGGGGTGGGATGCGTCTTCCCTCATCCCCTGTCCTCTCTCACCCCCTCAGCCCTGGCGCGGACCCCTAGCTGTGAAACTGGTGCCGGGGTAGCCAGAGCTGTGGTGTGTGGACCGCCTGGTCCTGAGAATGCTCCCTCTGGGATTGCCTCTGCCTGGACGCCCAGCCCAGTCCCAACAGGAACGCTGTGAATGTTTACAGATTGATTTTCTGTGGTTCCCACAGAGTCTCGTGCCATGCCCTGGCCCTGCCCAATATTGCAGGTTGGGAGTGTCTCGCCTTGTGCCCCCACACATCAGGGAGGCTGCGGAGGGCCCAGTGAGGCCCAGTATGTTGCATTTCTTGCCTTCGAGGGACGTGATGTGGCTGCTGCAGCGCAGGACCCCCCAGCTCCTGGACACAGTGGGGTGACCCCTCCCAGTTCAGTCCGTGTATTAACGCCTGCCTGAGCCTGGGGTGGTGCAGGATGCAGAGCCCCAAGGCCTGAGTTGGTGGCACCCTCATCACTGCCTCCACTCCCCCAGGCCCCTGCAGGCTGTGGCGCTGGCCCCAGGTGCGGCCCTTCCGAAGCTCCCGCAAGATGGGCACCTGTTCTGTTCCCTCGTCAGGTTCAGCCAGTCCGTGGGTGCGAGCGGCGGAGGGATCCCGGCAGGGCCGGGAGCTGCAGTAACTCATTTCCCCTCTCCCGGCTTTTCCTCTCTAAGGACCTGGGAAGAGAGGAGTTTGGGGCTCATTAGCAGGATGGAGCCCCGGAGCTGTGGGATCCCTTCCCAAACCTTGGCTTCTTCCTGCAACAGTGGGTGCAGCTTCCTTCCAGGCGGGGCCCAGTTGGCTTCAGGGACCCCGCCCTTCGCCAGGAGTCCCCAGTGCTGATGGGGTCCCCCAGCCGCGTTCTCCACCTTGGCCCCTTCCTCATGCGTCCTATTCTAGCACCCTTTTTAAGTCACTTTGCTTTGCTTTTTTTTTT